CATGAAGGTGTCCTCTTGCGGGATAAGCGTGGTCGTTGTGATACCTTAACTTGTCATCTTGTACTTGGTGATGGATCTCGGGTATATTGATACTTGAAATACGACATTACCCCCCACCAGGTTGGAACAACCGTTGAAGAATGAAAGGTATAGATGCTATAAATGGTAGATCAGAAAAACCCGTGAAAAACCCTGTGGGAAAAAATTGGGAAAAGATCCACCTAGCGTAGGATGTGTAAAGGTATTGCCTTGTGAATGTCGAGGTATTGCCTCATGCTTGGTAAAGGTATTGCCTTTATTGCTTGTTGCGTTTGGATCGACGTTGGCCTGTGCTTTGGCCACGTGCTTTGCGTTTGTATGACGTAGCACGTTTGGTATTGTGAGCAACATCGTGTTGCTTTTCACCACGTCGTTTCCAGTATTGCTGGATGAAATCAGGATCAGTGAAGTCCTCTGGTAGTTGCCATGTATCATCTTCAGGGGTATAGCCCTTCCATCGTACCAGATATTCACGGTGGCCTTCATCGCCTCGATGATCGATGATAGCTTGGACTTCATATAAGTCATCGGTTGATACAACATCCTTAACGGAAATCAACTTGAGTTCAGAAGGGGCATAATCGCGTGGCATTAAAGCACCGGTTTCATCTTGTAAGATGTATGAGCCACCTTCGGTTTTGTGTAAGACAGTGTATGGACCTTCGTATACAGGTGCAAGTTTGCTACCACGTGTATGCACTTTAGCCATGACGTGACTTTGCTCGGGAAAACTCGTGAGCTGGTGCGTGGAATCAAATTGCTCCTTTTGATTTTTTACGTACGCGTCCGTTCTTTCTTTCAAAGCTGGAAACACAACCTTCTGCATGTGCTCGAGTCGATTGACGAGTTCTTCGTACGACATGGGAGTAGCAGGTGTCGATGTATCTTTGCGATAGTCACGGAATGCGTTCACGTCACGAGCGTACATGAGCGAGAAAGGCGACGATTGCAAGCGTTTCGATATACGCATGTTCAGCTGCAACTGTGTGAGAGGTACGTGATAGTCCCAATCACGGCTAGCACCTTCAAGCTTCTTTTTAATGACCTGTACGGCCGATTGTACCCAGCGTTCAGCTGTACCGTTTGCTCGTGGATGGTATGGTGTGGTGAGCCTGTGGTTGATACCCAAGCTATTCACAAGCTTCTTCATGAGGGAGTTCTTGAATTCGGTTCCATTATCAGATTGGATGACTCGTGGTATTCCGAAATCGCAAAAGATTTGTTTCATTGTTCTTACAAGTGTATCAGCAGATTTATCAGGTATGGCTCTGAGAATACAAAAGCGAGTGCATACGTCGACCATTACTAACATGAAGTTATTGCCAGAGGTTGATGTATCAAACGTGGCAAGATCGATCGCCCAGTGGTCTCCTGGTATGTATGAATAGATGGGTCGCAAGGGATGGAAGCCTTTTTTCGCGATGTTGAACTTTTGGCAACCAGGGCATGACTTTACGAGTTCTACCGCATCTTGCAAAATGGTGTTCCAGTGCATTCCTTTTGTGTGTTGAAGGTATCTCACTATATGCTCAGCTCCAGCATGGCCGATTTCGTGGTGTGCATCTTCCAATTCTTTGGGACGATCCTCTTCAGGAGGTGTCAAGACATCGGTTGGTACTTTGTATGTCGGCATTTTGAAGGGGCTTTTGCGGGAAACACTCTTACCACCAACACGTAGTGCAGTGATACGACGATTCTTACCCCCCTCCAGCTTGTCACTTGGGGTGAACAAGCGTGAAAGATGATCAGGAAGGACATTTTGGAGTCCAGGTAAGTGAACCACGTTAAACGTGTATTTGAGTAGGGTATCGAGCCAGTTTATCATCATGGCGTTAGCTACCTTTTGTGTATGTAGATAGCATAGAGCACGATGATCAGTATATAAGTGAATGGGTTACCCCACAAATATTGATGGAATTTACGTAATGCGAACATGACGGCTAGCAATTCACGCTTGGTAGCGGAATAGTTGCGTTCAGAGGGTGAGAGTGCATGAGCCACGAAGGAGATGTAGCGCTCTTTGCCATCAATGCGTTGAAACAATGTAGCGCCAATGCCATAGTTGGAGGCATCTGTTGCCACAAAGAAAGGTTGCGAAAGATCAGGATACTCTAAGAGCACGTCAGCTTCCAAAGTGCGTTTAAGCTTATGAAAGCATTGTAGGTGTTCATCGTTCCAGATATCTTGTAGCGAGTCGAGATTGCGAAGTCGATCCAAGGGTGCTCGTATAGCTGCTACATTGGGTATGTGTTCCTGAAAGTAGTTGACGATCCCAAGGAAACGTTGTACATCTTTGCCAGTTTTGGGTATAGGCCATTCCAGCACATTGGTAAGTTTGCGTTTGTCGAGGGAGATGCCCTTGTGACTGATAGCAAAGCCAAGAAGGTAAATGTGGGTTTGTGCCATGTGACATTTGGCAGGGTTAAGAATAAGATTGGCATCTGTCAATGCTTGTATGGCTTGTTTGACATGTTGCGTGTGTGTGTGCATGTCTGGTGAGTGGATGACAATGTCGTCAACGAATGTTTGTACGAATGGCATATTCTCAAAGATGCGATGCATGACACGTTGAAATTTGGAGGATATAGGTTTGAGGCCGAATGGGCAGCCTTGGAACATATATTGACGGCCATTGTGAGTGAAGGTCGTTTTATGTTGATCCTCTGCTTTGATCTTGAAACGATGGAATGCATTCGTCAAATCAAGTGTGGTGAAGACTTTTGATCCACTTAGAGCCTCGAAGATATCACGAATCAATGGCAGCGGATATTTGTCATCAGGTAGGTATCGGTTGATATGGCGTGGATCGAGACATGGTCTCATTCCGGTTTTGTTGCCCTGTGCGTCTTTTTTGGGTGCGAGAGTAAGAGGGCTATTCCATGCATTGTTCACAGGTGCTCTAATAATGACACCATCTTCCAACCATTTCTTGACAGCAGCATCGACAGCAGGTCTTAGGCTGAATGGTATTGGATATTGACGATGATAGGAAGAATGAACGCCTGGAGTAGGGAGCTCTATCACTGATTCTTCCAAATTGCAGTATGATGCTTTAGGGATACGTGCATTGGCTTCCATGAAGGGTTTGATTTGGCGCTCAAAGTCGTGTCGCTCGTTAGGTGTGCCTGCTGGGGAATTGTTAGGCTCATTATGCTCTTGTTCAACCATATCCAAAGTGGATGGTGAATCTGAAATCGAGTCATCATCATCCCATTTAAAGGCTAGTCCTGTGAGGGCGATACCGATTAGTGGCATTAGGTCTTTGCCTATGATCACATCATCGTGTGCGAGATTCATAACCTCAAAGCTAAAAGTAGGTTTATGACCATTATAGCTAATGTGCAAAGGTGCTGTTGTGCCAATTCTTGGACGGGCATCTCCACTACCGGCATACCATATTTTCCCATCCACGTGATTAATAGACCAATTGTTTGCATCACATAATCTTTTATTCACAACAGAAATTTCTGCACCTGAGTCAATTAATGCTAGGCAACGCTTATTCTGTATAAGGATAGGAGAACGTATTAGCGTTTCTGATTCATGGTGTTTTTGGGTATTGCCCAATTGCTTACCGGCAGCGAGCTGATCGAGATCAGCCATGTCTTGATCAAAGTCGTGCAATGCTTCATCAGCGGGATGCGACATGTCAGGGGAAGTTTCAGCAGTCATGGTGTTGAGTTGCAGGTTGGATAACTTGAGGTCTCTTTTTCTTTTGTGAGCATCACGGTACTCTTGGCAACGGTGACCCTTGTCCCATTTTCCACCGCAATGGACACATTCACCACGTTTGAAACGGTCTTCAGCTGTAGTAGTGGAGTCCTTGCTTGATGACTTGTTCTTGGTATCAGCTTTCTTGCAGTCTTCGGGACGATGTTCCACATAGCGATCGTGGTGTGGGCACCAGTACTTGGCCTTGCTGGATGACGATTTGCGACGTTGCGAAGATGGTTCGCTTTGCGCAGGAAGCGTGCGTTTTTTGACAGAGACACGTCCAGCAACACGAAGGATTTCTTCAAGATTCTTGGGTTTACGCTTGTGGTGGTGCGCATGCCAAACAACGCTCACGTTGTCTTGTATATGATGATGCAACGAAGCAAGAAAACGCATTGCCAAACCTTGGTTGTCATCAAGGCCACCCTCTCTAGCCGCATTTCGGAATCGGGTTCCATATTCAACGACATCTTCTCCAGGGCGCATTGTCATGTTGTATACCTCGGTTGCTTTGGCTAGCTCCGTATCGATGGCTTGAAAGCGCTTTTTGACAATCTTGCAGACCTTGTTCCATGGGTAGTCCTTGCCTTGTAGCTTCGTTTCGTACCACAGGTCCAGATGATGAGGGAATGCCAAGGATAGCCATTTGGCCCATTGATTGTTGATGTGATCAGAGGTATTTGCTTCTACGATCTTACGAAAGCGACCCAAAAAATGATCCACCGTTTCATATACAGGTTTGCTTGAATCCTTGGTAGCAGAGCCAGCCAACTGGAAGAAGGGAACATCCTTTGCTGTCATACGATCCACAGCCTTGCTCTTGTTTCGGGTAGTGGTATTGCCACTTGTTTCGGGTTCATCAGCATAGACCTCCTTGTAAGTGTCCTTGAATTGGGTAAGAAGCTTTCTTGTATTTGCAATGTCTGTTTGGAGTCCTTTCAAGTTCTCTGTGGAAGCAGTAGGTAGAGCCTTGTTGTACATCATGATGAGCTTGTCCAATTTGGCACGATAGCGATCCACAAGTTGACGAGTGACATCCTTTGGATTCTCCTTGGTGGTAGGTTCCTGGTCCTTGATTTTCTTATCCTTGCGCGACTTTTTCTTATGACTTTTTTGTTGCTTAGATGCGTTTTTCGAATCCATATCAGTGGTATTGCCACCTGACGAGACCGATCCAGCATCTCCTTGGCTATCCTTGCTTGTATCGTTGTTTGCATCATGGGCTTGGTTTCCAGTCATGGAAGTATCACCATCACGATCAGTAGTGCTTGGGGTAGAGCTAGTAGGTTCGTTCTCTCCGTTCGACATGGTAGTGGATTATTCAACGTAAAAAATGAGATATTACGTATAAAAAGAAGATGATGGAGAAAGTGAAAGTACG